TTTCATAATCTTATTCAAGAGGATTTATGACAAAAAATATGACAGGAAATATGACAGGAAATATGACAAAACAAATTACAGATGTGCCACATCCATTTGCTCCCCGCCTGCTAAAAGAGTTTTTTACTAGTTGAGTTTCGATTGCTTGTCGATAGATATTCAACTTAATCAATCCATAAGCCAACGCCCTCATTAGCTGCCCTTGAGTATTGGGTTGAAAAACCTTTTGAACCAACCTCCCATTGTGTTAATAACTAACACTGAGCATGAAGTGTGCATTGTTCAATCGAAAAAAAGGCATCTTGGGCGACTCAATTGCAGCCCTGGGCTAAGCCCGAGCTGCATTTAAGGGGCATTGCTCATAGAGTTGCTTGGCTCGTGTCGCTGGCTGTGGGGGCGTATGATTGATGTGGCTGATGTGCAGCGTTTCGTTTCGTTTCGTATCGTTTCGTTTAAGCAAGACGTGTACAACTTTGGCCGAATGCAGACAAAAGCCAACAGCCGTTATGAGTCGCTATTGGCCATCAATCATCGGATGCTGTCATGCCTCTCCCCGTGTTTGTGTAGTCGTCGTGCGTCTGCGCGTTGGCAGACAAACTGGTGCCAACTGCCGCTGCTGAGATTTCCCAGAAATGATCAGGCTCTTGAGCACAACTGACTATAAAATTCTGATCTTTATGGAAGCGCACTCATCAAATGGTGGGCTTTCCGCTTTAGTTTTATGACAATTGCTAGTGTTCAGCTTTTTTTGGGCTCTGCTCTTTGAAGTTCCAGTTTTTGTTTCGGGTTGTTATCTCTTCTCTTTTTTTTTAGCTTTTTATTGGGGCTAATTTCGCAATGACCATAGCCAATGCTTTGGTGCCCGCCAAGGTTTATGTGGGGAACTTTCTGCCTAAGCCATAAACCAACGGATTTGTGTTTGTTGTTGGCGCACATCATAAATGGATTATTGCGGAATTGGAGTGACAGCCATTGGCATTGGCAAGGGATTATGTTGTTGTTCCAAAACTGATGAACTGAAGATTGTAAACATTCTGAATTTGTTATAACTGTCAAGTCAGATGACTTATTTAAAATTGAAGCAAAGGAAGATCTTATTTGATATTGAAGTTAACGGATGATCTTATTAAAAGTTCGATTTAATTGATAATCATTTTCTATTATTTATTTCATTGACTTGAAATGAGATTTATTCTAAAAGGCTAAACCACTATTTCAAATGCAATTTATGGGTTCCATTTGAATTAAAAGTTCTGCTGATTCCAATTTATTTTTTATGTGCATGTCAAATGCTTGTTAATTTTAATGCATGGCCAAAACACCCCACGCTGCAATGCTGCGCCCAAACAAAATTTAAATCAAAGTATATTAAAAGCAAGAAGAAAAAATTTACGCAATGCTTTTTGACATTTGCCAAAACAGAAAATCAAATGCAAACGCAATCAATCATTAGCATCTTTTGAAAATTAATTCTCATTTTTATTGGTCTTACAATTGATGCAATGCACAGCAACAACAACAATACAAATAATAATAGCGAGCACAACAACAACAACAACAACGCCAACGCAGGCAAATGCTGCCATTACGTCTGCTTTACAGAAAATCGACACAGCGACTCTGTGCAGCGTGGCACGCATTCAATTAACTCAAATGAATAAATAATTAAATATTGCAAAGGAAAAAGAAGTCCAAATACAAGAGTTGAGTGGGGGACAAATCAATACCCTGCAGATGTGAAAGATGAACAGTAAATGAGAGGTTGCTGCTCAAAATGTACTCAAATTTTCATTAAACGTATGTTCAAATTTTCATAGTTCAAGGCTCCATATTGACCTTATAAAAATCGAATAACTTACTTAAATTATATTATTAATTATAAAAATGATATTATTATTATTATATTACTATAGTCGCTGAGATTAATGTGGATAGCACAATGAGTCAGCAAATGGACTCCGTTTTTCAGATGCTCTAAATCATGCAAAATATACATAGAAATAATGGCCGTTACATGTTTTGTATAATTTAGATATACTCAGCTGCCCGTTACATATTTTCCAGAATTTTAATATGCCCACTTCACCTAATTTGATCTGTAACAGGGTACAGTTGAAACGAAAGACTTAAGCGACGAACTTTATGCGAGTATTGAGGGAGCAGCACGGCGACTTCCCACAAGCCGAGCCGCATTACAAAACTACACACACCGTTGCAGGCCGCGACATACGCGTACTCGCAGCTGACTGAAGCTGCTGAAATGATGCCATCAACAGCAGACGACAAAAAAGAAGAAGAAAAACAATGAAACACAATTGAGATCTGATGAGTAGTAAGAGGAGAATGGAGAGCAGGAGGAGGTGTGGCCTGTAGCTGAGCAAAAGTCAGATAGCCGTAATAAAGAAATCTAATAAATGAAAAGCGAGTCTTTGGGCACACACACACACGCACACAATTGTTTGGCGCTTCGCAGCCTCTGCGTATTTCTCAATGATCCGCCAACTTGAAGTTGCCACTGCTGACACACTCACCAACTCATCAATTCACCAATTCACCAACTCACGGCAGCGATGCTTAATGGCCGCATAATTAACTAATGTGGGCAATGCTCGACGCTGTTGTTGCGCTCTAGGTTGACAGACAATTAGGAGGCAGCTGCCGCGACCCGTGGCACGAATCGAGTGCGCAATTGTAGCACTTGGCAGGGCAGCCCCCTGGCCGCCGCGAAGCCCTCTGCCTTACGACCGCATTGTGCAACTCTCTTGAGCAAAACAATTTTTGGAGAGTTCAAAAATTAATAATTAACCAGACAACCAATGCTAACGCCCACTTGGCTACCTCCGCCCCTGGCTCTCATTTGAGCTTTAGTTTCTTCTTTTTTTTTCTTTGCAGCTATTTTACAATAATGCTTAATTATGTACTTGTAAATTAGAAAAAAAAACGGAAACCATAAAGCGTTTAATTTGCCTTTTAGCAGATTTCCTCATATGGCAAAAGTTTTATAACAAAACAAACATAATTATATAGTTAGGGCTAACCACATGCACTTGAGTGTATTATATTATTTTATTGTATTACTTAATAATATAGAAACAAATGTATTTGTATGTATGTAGGTAGACCATAAATTTATGGTAGAGATCAGATAAACTTTAATCTTAGTTTTGGCATTCGTATACAGAATATATATTTAGAAAGGAGGGCTTAAATTGCTCGACTTGTTTATATTATATTTGTATGAAAGGCTCTTCTAATATATAATGCATACATATATTTTTTTACATAATTTTTTTTTTAATGATTAAGGGACAATTTTTTGTTAAGCTCAACATGGAAAAAAATAATGAATTTATAGATATTTATTTATAGATTTATTATACCATTATTTAAATATTTTTAGATTTAATTTTAAATTTCTTTATTTAGTTATTAACCCTGTAATACCACAAGGAATTACCCAAGTATTTTCCCAAATGCTAAAAATCTGTACAATTTTATCGACATCTTGTATATAGCGGAAAAATCTCTTTGCATTCGACTAATTGATTGTTTGTTTTTCTTTTCAATAAACTGTAGATAAGGACCAAGTCTTACTCTAAGCTTATATCTGTGATTTGTCGGCTGTCTAATAGGAATTATTACAGCTCAAAACTGACATTTTGAGTGCCATATCAATGTCGTGAAATTGGCTAGTGAATGTCTAAATCAAATCCCTCGATTGAAATGGGCGTGACGAGTGGCTGTGTTGAATCAGCTTAGGCTTTCAGCTATAACTCATTAGATGGAAAGGCTTTTAAGACATACACCCAAGTGTGTATGGGGCGCGGTTAGGTTATAACGCGCGCAAATACATTGATTGAGTTATTCCACAACATGTTTAAGCAGAAATTGAAAGTTGTCACCGCTCTTCCTGTCCTTCACGGCAACAGCATGAAATATGTTTGTGAGTGACATGCTCAAGTTCATATTCATGTACAAACTTGTATATTTATATATATGTATAAATGTGTATTTTCCGGCTTATCTTTTAACATTTAATTAACTATATGTTTGCGTATCTTCAGCTTAACTATTAGCCATTTCCTACGCAGCATGACCATTGCCATTAGTAGCTCGATTTTTGCTGTACACTGTCAACCAGGCGATAAATATCTTGGGATAACATGCAAATTGTTAAGAGATGCTACCAAATAGGCCCCCAACTAGCAGCCATCATTCGAATAGTTTAAGCCGTATATGGCCAAACTAATTAGCTTCCTGTTTAACAAATGTCCGAAAAGGTCAAGACAACATTGCCGAGTAAATAAACAATTTAATTATAAATAAATAATTAAATAAATATGACGCCGTACACAGCCAGCCAATTTACATAGCTTGTAAATGCCTTGAAAAACAAAACACAAAAACACAAAATAAATCAAGCTAACGAATTTAGACAAGTTTCTCAAAAATGGTGCGCGCAAATACGAATGTACAACATATACCTATATATTTCCATATAATTTATTGAATTCTCGTTTAGATATAAGTATAACAGAAATATTTAAAGTTCGCAGCGTCTTTTTCCATAGGCTGCCAGTCGAGCAACCCTATATGGCAGCTGGACCATGTGGCGAAAATGAATTTTTAATTTTGATTCTGAATTTGTTCGTGTACGAGTATGAATCGCGTTTCTGTCTCGCTTTGCATCGGGGCTCTGAGCGTCAGACCCACGCGTGTTAATTACAAATGATTTGTTATGGTTAGATCTGCTTGTGGTTGTTGCCATTGTGGGGCTTTTTCTCTCTTACCTCTCACTCTTTCTTTGTCTCTGTCTCTGTCTGTTTCTCTAGCGACTTGTGTCACATTTAGAATCAACGTATTTATCATGTCAGCAATTAATCAATACGTTCATAGAACAATTTTGTGCACGTTACGTGGTGCAGAGGGCAGTTGCAATATATATAATATAATATTTATATAACTATTCAATTGTATAATATTATAAAAAATTAACTTACATGCAACTTTAATTGAGCTGATGCTATACAACAATGATCCTTTTATCCAATGCCTAAAAATAAATGCAGTTTTTCATTATTAGCAATTAAAAACAATTATATTATATTATTTTTTTATTAATAACTTTTAGCTTTATTAAATCAACGATGCCAGACGATTCCCCCAAATATTATATAAATACTTTGAATAGCAATCAGAATTGTTGAAATAAATTGCTGCATCATTTTTAATAGTATATTTAAATGCTTTAAGTGCCGCATATTCTCCTTTAATATTTCTGTGTATCTGTGAGTCCAATTCTCCTCGTCAAAAACTACTTTTACTCAATTATCGTGCGTAACTAATTATACAAAGAAATTTCCAATTTGTCAAATAAGCGTTTTACCACCGACATTATAAACGACCCTCGCAGCTCGAAGTATAGTTTGTTCCAGTTCATTGCTAAACGATTTCATTGAACAATTTTAAAGCGTTGCTTGCATTTTGGATGCTTCACACCTTACGACATGCATGAAGCAGCCAACAGTTGACGCTTCTGCATAAATCAATTAATAGGCCCAGACGGAGAGACAGTAAAAAGTGCAGACGTTTGTCAAAGATTTGGCATCAAAACGATTGTCTGGCTAAAGTGTTGAACAAAGTAATTGTTATAGCAGTCGCGGGCTGTGCCCAGATGACAGTTGTTGGCATACAAACGAGCACATAAATGTGTATAACTTATTCACACATGCACACGCACACACAGGCACATAAACGCGTACTCATTGCTGGTACTCGATAGAGTGGGCTGTCATTTTGGCCATAAATATTAGGTGTTAAAATTATGCTAAATGCAGTGGGTAGTTAGGCCGTGATTTCTATATAACTACATTTTATTGCATCCAGTTTGTTGCCCAAGTTTTGTATTTTGTATTTCATTTTCGCCATTTACTTGCCTTATTTTCCATTGAGTCCGTCTCATTTTATTCCCATTAGGCTAGCTTTTCTCAAAGCCTCCAGTTACGCGATGTGAAATGTTTTTTTTTTTTTATTATCAGTGAGACATTTTATGCCAACGCTTTGGCAAACTTCTTCAACAAAGTCAGTCAGTTACCAAGTCAGTTATTCATTTAGGCTCCCAATATGGTCATGAAAAAATGCTTACATTTTTATGGGTAAATGCGGTTTTCTTGTTTGAGCCGCGTTGCACCAAGGATTGCGACAAGAAAAATTTTTATAGTAGACTTTGGGGTTTGTCTCTATGATTTAATCGATAAAAATGATCGATTGCAAAATTATACGATAGTTGCAACATGCTTGAAAAATTTTTTAATTTGCTAATTTGATTTAACAATACGTTAATTTCAAGTTTAAACTGAATTAAATGCTGCTGGCGAAATAAAAGTCTTCCAAAAATTATCAATTTGTTTTTTCTGTTGAATTAAACTGTCGATTTAACCCAATCAAGCAGAACACTTAATAAATAATAATTTTAAGGAATTAAAAAATTGTAAATACAAGTCTTAAATTTATGACTAATAAAAGATATTTTAATTAATAAAAATTGATGTCTTATCTTAAATAAATTACGATTATTTAAGATTTTTATATGAAACTATTTATTTTAATAATAAATTTTTGATTATAGACAATGTGTATTTTGAACATACTTTGCAAATAGTTTTTGTTTACTTTCACATATGTGTGAATATCCATTTCCACTCCAGAAAGTTGGAAAAATTGTCTTCTCACGAGCCAGCTCTGTTATGCAGGCACCTTCTCTAGCAATTTAGCCACTGTGCCGTCGACTGTAACTGCCGCACTTTCGAGGACGGGGCTTGTCAACATGCGTTCCATGTGATTTGCAGATGTTGGAATCACATAGCGTCGTCGACGACGCCGTCAGTCAGCCGCAAGACAACGCAGAAAATTTGCTACTTGTTTGTTGTCTGCCCGGTTTTGGGCCCAGGCAGCAACAGCAATGCGCCACACGGGCCCAACGTACTACAAAATCTTTTAGCTTAAACATGTAATAGCTCTTTAAAAGGTTCAGCTAAGCGCGCCCGAGTTTTAAGACAGCCAGGCGTAATTGGGTCAACAAAGTGTTATGTATGCAACTATTTATAATGCATGTGAGCCAAGTTTGTTGCCTAAGTCTTTTGATTTGCCTCTGGCATTAGACACATTGGCTGTGCCCAACCATTTGGCACTGCGCCACACATTAAACTCCAAGATGCACATTGATTAGCTAAGGCCAAAGTTTAAGCGGCTAAACGTGCGCCCAGCCAAGCAACTAAAACAAAAAATAAACAACAACAACACCAAGCACCAAAATGCCACAAAATGACTCAATTTGTGTGGAGTATGTGCCACCCAAACGATTTGGTTATTATGGCACGCATTGCCTTTAACTATTAATTAAATGGACATAAATTACATTTTTATTATTTAATAGTAATTTTTATTACACACGCCCAAATAATTCACACACGCCACGTGTGTGTTTGCCACAGCCAGGCGCAGAGCTCCAAAAGCGCATTATAAATTCAAAGCATATTCCCACCATAAATGTCGCATAAATACGACTATTTGGACAAAAAGGGCACGTAGCATAAGTGAATGCAAATGAGACGTAAATCAATCATAAAATATGTCCACAATGGATCGTAGACATAAAACACATGTCGCCAGCACTGTAAATACATATGAAAAGTGATTTCTTGTTCAACTTCTTGAAGTGCCCACACCTTGACGTCAGCTTAAAGCCCTAGAAAGCTTAAGCCTTATCCTTTACTGGGGATATCATTATTGGAAATATGAAGCTTTAAGCTATATTTACTTTTGTGCTAACATTCAATAAATATAATATTGCAAAATTTAGAAGAGGAGAAAACGATATAGCTTTACTTTGAACAGTCCAAACCCTTAAGAAGACTTAATTTCTCAAAAATGTTTTGTAATGGAATAAATACTAATAAATTAAATACGTTCTTTTGTGATATATTTCTTCCTATAACCCAATAGAACTTCTGTAAAGCAATTGACGTCTTCCATTTTAATGCTTAATTTCAAATTGTCAGTTATTTTACTACACTACGACTACATGTTTGTTTGCTAAAATAAGTAATTTTTTAATTTCTATATCAAAACTTAAATCAGCTATAAATTTTATGAAAATATAATTTATGGCAGAAGCGTGTAAACTTATTCCGCCAAATGTTGCTTTGAAAAAAAAAAACAATTATACAAACTAGCAAGTACTTAAACACTTGTAGATTTTATGACTCTGTGTGCTTAAGAATTCGGATAATCACCATTTGACAGTCATATTCAATCTGCACAATGCGAGGAAGATGACAAAACAAGTTGCCAAGCACATGTCAAACACAAAGACCACAAATAAACGAATGGCCAGAAATCAAATACAACAAAAAATATGCCCACCTGCAGCTGGCGCCCTGAAACCGGAAGCAAAAGGTAGACAACGACTGTTGAACCTTTGCCCGAATGCAAAGGCGTGTCGCAAATCCAACAAATAAATTTTGTTTATTTTTGGTGTTTAGTTGTCCGTTTTGTTGTTTTGATGCGGCTAATTTAGTGCCGCGATATGTTTTCAGCAATTAGTCAGGCATGCAGCTCAACAAAGTCAGGCCTGAGTTTTGGGCGCTGCCGTGCAGACGTAAAATAAATCACAACAAAAAACAAGAGGAAAAAAGTATTTTTAAAAAACTTTAACCAAATGTTGAGGAAGCGGCAATAAACACACAAAAACATTTACTTACAAAATGCATGCGTCAAATGGTTTTTTGGTCTTTGAATTTCTGTTTTATTGTATGTGAAATAAACGTGATTTGTGTTTTGGCTTGCGGCACTTAAACTAAAAAAAAACTAAACAAAAATATTGTCCGGCACGTGTGCCATACGAACGACAGGGAGCCGCCTCATTTGTTTGCAATTTTGTTGGTTGTAGTTGTGTTAAGTTTCCGTTTTGGGTGCTATTGACTTTTGAACTGTACCCGAAAGTTACTCAGCCATAGCCGAATGAGAGTTCAAGAACTGCTTAGTAACTCAGAAAAGAATTTAAGCTACAGCACACAGCTTAATAACAGTATTTATCAGAAAGTTTGCTACAAATATAACAGAAATCAATCCCTAGAGTTTAATTAACATACTATAACGATATTATTCAGATATCTATCTATTAAAAACGAACTTTGTTTAATTCAAATATAAAGGCTAAAGAAAGAAGAGGAATGAGGAAGGCAAATCTACCACTTGTATCCAATTAGTTATATTATTTATGCATTTAATAATTATTTGTAAATAACTTAAAAATAAAAGCTTCAACTTTTCGTTGCTATCTTTAGCTATATTAAACATATATTATTGTTTGTACAAGACATAAGGGGCGAACATAAGATATATACTCAAATAAGTATTTAAATCAATTTAAACAAATTATTTCCTTAATCCTTTGCAGAACTTCTAGAAACGTAGTTAAACTAAGAGTGCAAATATTTATGCCAATTTACCACCCACATTAACCATATTGCTTTTGATATCTATCAATAACAATTGCCTAACCAAAAGGGACACAATTTCCATATATATAAAATACAGACATTCGCTGCACCAATAAAAAAATCATTTAGCCAAAAATAAAAGTTGCTGGCAATTTGTTGGCTCACACTCAACCAAAGCTAAGAAGAAGAAAAAATAAAGGAACACAAAAGGTACCTATAAATCGACTCAGGGGCGCATAACTTTCAAATGCGATTTGTTTAAAATTTGTAGCCGAATACAATTGCGAGTATTTCCAAACGGCGTGACAACATTTTTATTTTAGCCATGCCTGACTGGTCTCTGCTGTTTCAATAACCGAATCCGTAACCAAATACGAATCCCCAATTGCAATCCCCAATGCGAAACCGCCACCGCTAGCGACACGTTTTGAACCCAAAGCCCCAAAGGGTCAACTGGCGCGTGTAGCGAAAGCCACGCTACAGGCATAGATATTGACAGGGCCAGGCCAACAGCTATAACAACCATAACAGCGAGGGTTGATTGAAAAAATAATAAGTTATAAAAAGTTCCTGTACCGCGTAGAAGTGCTTTACAATACAACGTTTGTTTACTGACCAATCTTTTTTAGCTAACCATACTCTCAGATTGTTTACCCCAGACGCTTTCAAATTTACGTTCCAAATTGAATATTTTCCGTTCAATAGCAAGCTTTACTGCTGCTATACACTGACGAGTATTCGATAATTCGCTCTTGTACTCTAAGTATTCTCAATCGCTTTGAGTACTAATTCCATACATTATTATCCCCTTGAGTACTCATACTGAATCTGACAGAATACTTTCTACTCAAAAGTACTCAAATATACTAAGTTGCATACGCGTTTACTACTCCTTTCAGGTTTCGGATCTTACTTTATTTTTATGAGTTAAAATAATATTTATTATTGAAATCGTACTCGCTATTCGTTGATTCTTGTTGTAGTTCGGTAGTCTGTATTTAACCAAATTCTCTGCTGAACAACCCTCGTCTGTGATGGTCATGCTGAAAACCTAACGACCATAACTACATATATACAATTAATACAACTGCAATTGCAGCTTTATAGTTACAGATAAATGCAAAAGGGCCATTTGTATCTGTTCTCAGTTCGATCTTCACGCCCGAGCGCCGCAATAGACCTTCCACTGGTGAGCGCCGAGCGTTACTTGCCTGAACTTGACATGCATTTTGTTATGCCAGTGCGTGTAGTTAATGAGTAACTGCTATAGTGGGGGGTAGGGGTAGCTTGTACCCATAGCTACTACAACGAGTAGGTAGCCAAGTCTCCAGTCTAGACTTGGCGAATTGTAAACTGCATTGGGGCACGGCCTACGTGCAGCATTGGGGCATATTAAATGTTGGCTGCTGTTCTAATTAATGGCTTAATTCTGTAGCGTCAATGGAATCGATTGGCAATGGTTGCGCCATTAATTATGACTTATGGCCAGAAGATGTAAAAAATAATTAAGAAATTTGCTGACGCTTATTTTTAAATATCACATGCTCATACAAAGACCAGCCACCTGCGGTTTTATTTTATATTACCAAAAAGTATAACTTTTATGATATTCCGAATTTTAGCAGCAGCTTGTATAAATGTATATAGTATATCATTTTTTCTTTTTTGGTTCAATGGCATTGCATACGACATGAATTTAAATAAACTTTTAAAAGTTAAACTTGCTGAGCTATTTACTTACGAGTGCACGCCGGTCTCACATGCCGGTTTGTTATTTTCTATGTGTGAGCGTTGAGCATATACAAAAAATGCCGGCAAAGAGCGTGAAGAGCACAGCTCTTAAGAGCGAGCAACAGGGTTGTCGAGTTTCGCGTTGAGAGACTTAATAAGCTATACAACTATAAGAATTAATTTATAAACATGTATAAATATATAAGAAATTTTAAATGCAGTTAAGTATAAACAACATAAAATAGAAATTCGATAATCCTTTTTAAATTAATAATAAATGCTAAACGCAATTTTTGTTTATAATAATTGGGAAAAAATTTAGTTAAATATTAAATATTCGATAAAATTAATATTCAATTAAATTCAAAAAATCAAAAGATACCTATTTATATAATGCATTATATTAAATAAATTTAATAATAAATTAATTTAATAATCTAGAGCTAGAGCTACTCTTTTATAATTTAATATTTAAAATAAATATTAAACTTATGGGTATGCATATAAATAAAATTACAAAGGTTTTTAAATATTTCTTTTATGTAACATAAATGCCTGTGTTATCCATAATATAAGCTAAATGCTAACAATATTGCATATAATATTAAAATATGCAATAAAAAACAAACGAAGAATATATCAAGCACATGCTGAATTCCAAAGCCCCTTATTCTAGAGGATGTGTTTTCAGCATAGTTTTCTTAAAGAATATATGACTTCATTGGAATTACTTGGAACTACGCAGCTTAAATGTGCAGCTCCTTTTTAGGGATGCCAACAATAAATCAACTTTTATTACAATGCTTTGGTTACTTTTGCACATACTTATATAAAAATTGTAATAACCAATTAGTTATCTGGTGTCATATGCAACACAGAGTAACTACTTAAAGTGGGTGCAGATCAATACAAGTAGATACTAACTCAAGCCAATAGTAAAGAGTGCTAAATTCGCTCTTACCCAGCGCTCGCTGCTCTTTAAAAATACACTCGTTCTCTGACAGAAAAGCTGACATCATCCATTGGCTAGGCAGCCAGACTGAGACACAGCTACGGGCCAAGTTAGCTGGGGCAGGCAGGAAGGCAGGCAGTCGGGCCAGCTGTCAGACGGCGGCTTATTTAACGCGCGGGCCAAGCTGAAAACTCTTTTAGTATAGCGTTGGCGTGCGAGACAGACGGTTCGGTTGAGCACAAGATACACAAAGTACTTGACAAGCTAAAAACAAAACGAGTTCGAGTTCCAAACATTAAATATACATACAATATAAGCACATTTAGCGCAGGCGTTGAACTAGTGCGAAAAAACAAAAAACAAGAACACTTCAAAAACAAAAAGTAATAAATAATATAAAGAAAACAATGCAAAATATACAAACAAAAAATAAACATTAAACAATTCAACAAAAAAAAACTTGCAGCTGTGACTGCGTAAAGCTCTTTGGCACTGGCTGATGTCAGTCTGCGGCACAATCCCAGTACCCTAGTTGAACTCTACGTGAATTGAAGTGTAGCCAAGCGTTGAGTGTGAAACGCAAAACAAGCGAATTTAAAACGCCAGCCAAGTGCCGCGTTTTTCCCTTTTTTTTGTATATACACAGTCACAAAGACTAAGCAGCAAAAGTTAAATTTCGTTTAAAAAAAAACAATTGTAAAGAAAGTGAAAGACGAAACGCGACAAGTTGGCCTAGCAAAGCACAGAAAAGGGAAAGGCTTACTTTTGCATAGTTTTTCAAGTGCAACGCTCAGAAGTTTGTCTGTCATTTGCCCTGCATAGCCCACGAACAGCTGTTAATACCTTTTCAGTTTCTTTAGCTGCTCGCCCACTTGCTGTGGCATAAAAATCATTGAAAATTAATTTTTTATACATAAAAAATATATATTTTTCAATAAATTTTATGCCAATGCTTTGCTGACTACGCGTTTTTTCTATACAAACGAAAAAAAAAAACGTTGAAACCACGCGTTTTGAGTTGCCTGCATGTGTGTTTGTGTGCGTGTGTGTCTTAAAAAAAAAACGTATTCAGAAAATAAAATATAAAAAGAAAAAAATTGCAGCTTAAAAAGCGGCCAAGCGACATTGATGCCAATCGCCAGTGCATTTGGGTTTGTTGTTGGCCGCTCTTTGCAGCTCAACAGAGTTTGAGCCGAAACAACAACAACAACAAATACAACACTTTAAGCATAAGCCTAAAACGCCTTCAGTGGACTTCGGCTGAATGTAAGGCACATGCTAAAAAGCGCTATCAACGTCTGACTATCGCGGCAGGTACGTGCAATTCGTCTTTTGATTTATATATTTACCGTTTTGTCCATTGCCAGCACAAATGGCAATCAATTTTTTTTTTGCTTTTTTTTTTGGTAATATTTATGCGCGATTATATATGAACGTATAATAAATAACAATGCTGTTTGCCAAATTTATGTGCTATAATTGCAGTTAATACGTTAGAAGCACTCAATCAGGGACTATGGCTTATTGTAATAGATACATTGTTGCATGAGATGTATATATAAATTTATAAGAAAGCTATATTTATGTATGAATTTGAATTTAATGTAACTGTAATGGGAGCATTGTCTAAAATTGTACTCCCTTTACAAGAAAGTTGACTGCCACCAAAAGCCATCGGCTTGTCTGTCTGCTATTCTCTCAATTTACAACCATTGTTCTTTGTTTCCAAATAATTATCACAAGAAAAAATTCATTTCTTTATAGTTCAGCTATTTAGTATTGTAGTTATTACCTGCTTCTCATAATTATTGCTATAAGTTACATTTTCTCTTAAAGAAAAATATACAACCACAAAGAATTATTTAGAGGTTGTAAACTTGCAAGCAAATTATGGCTTAGCCTACTCTTTCACATAATCTCTCATTTCTTAATTGCGTATATCCTCTAAGCGATTTAAAGCGTCCACATACGTATACTCATTACTTCCGGCAGCTAAGTATTACACAACATTTACAACATTTTTCTTTCTCACCCACCCGACGTTCATTAACTAAAGATTTTTCTCAGGCCCCACTCGTAAGACCATGAATTGTAATTTTCAGCATTTCTTATATCGTTTTGTCCAACACTAAAACAAAAGACTTAGGCAGCAAACTTGATCGTACATATACGTTTGCTCAGACGCCATGAATCATAAGAAATAAAATAAAATCTTTTTTCTTACAATTAAAGTTCAATGATTCTAGTGTATGCATGAGTTCACAATTTGCCCAGACGCTGGCCATTAGTCATCCATTTGCCATATGTAGATAGTTGTAGTTGTTCCTTTCTGTTCGCTGATTTGTTCTTTTAGAAGATACGTTTATAAATATGCTAATATTCAAGAGGGTAGCTAATAATCGTGGGCTGCCGTTTGTATATTAAATTAGTCTAAATCAGATTTTAAATGGCTTGCGCCTCAAGTTGTTGATTGACAAGCATATCGCCAATATCTCTGCGAATTTCCAGCTAACCCTCATATTTATGGCTGCATCAAATGCCCAAGCAATGGCCTAGAGCTCAGCCAGTGTCACATAAAGAACTTTGTGGCGTACATTAGCGCAAATTACCATTGGCAAAAGGTGTTGGCCCCAATTGTCACCTCCAAAGATATCACGAAAAAAGAAAAAGAAAAAAAAACTGGGTGCGGAATTCTAGCACAAGTCGCAATTCGCAGCACCAAAAGGCCCCAACCATATTGCATTACCTTGTGCCGCGTCATAGCCTACGATAATTTTTATTGCCACGCGCTTTTTTTGCCAATTTATCAGCTGCTTGAATGTCATGCCCAGAACTGTCTGTCTGTCTATCTGTCAGTCTGTCGGACGGGTTGTTGCTGACATTAAGCGCATTTCAACACTGCAATCACAAAAAGCACTTTTGTCAAGCTGTGGCAAAGTTTTTGAGCAACACGTGCCAGACTTTGGGTTGTCCCAAACGTTAAGCATATATCTGGTGCTTTCAAAATATAGTGAAAGGGCATATATGTTTCTGGTAAAATTATATTTATAATTTATAAATATTAAGGTTAACTGCATTAGTCAAAGAAGACGCTGCTTTTGTTGAGCGAATAGTCTCTACTAATAATATTACAGAGTATTTTGCAGTCGCAACTAGAGTTTCTTTTATTTTTATTTACCTTTCTACATATTTAAAACTGCTGCCATCTTCAATAAATTTCTTCAAGCTTAGCGACAGATGTTTACATTTTAGAGTTTTCTTCAAGTCGAATGTAGAGATACTTCTCATTTTTTTATATATAACTATGAAATAGTTATTATAACTAATTGCTTTGCCTGATGCTCAGTTCGTTACTTTTTAAAAATGTACGTGTCTTTAGGAATTTATTATTAGGGGGAACGAATCCTTCAAAATTATGATTTCGGCAGAAGCCGATGTTCCTACACTTTTTGACTGAATATAACCCAAATCTACAAACAATTACAAAGTATCTCCCAGTCGCACAATGAATAATAAAATTTTTTTATTTTTTTTTTCATAAGCCTGTCACTTCATTTAATAGCGCCCCTCTTGGGATTGAGAGCCCAAAAAGGTCTAATGTAAACGCTGCCCAAAATCTACAACAGTATTTTTTTTGCTTTTAATCAATAATTTAATGGTGTTTTTGACACCACACCCAAGAATAGCATTTGCATTTGCAGTGAATTTAATTCGGGTATCTAACAAAATATTTTTGCATTGTTTGCCAATGCTTTTGAAATTAGCGTAAAATACGAAAAAACCAAAAAAATAAAATAAAGCTAAGGATAAAAAAAACTGAACATAAAACACAAAACCGACATATTCAAACGTTTCAAAGTCATAATTATTAGCTTTGCCTTTTATGGCCTGCACATTGCTATTTCAAATGCTCAAAAGCAAAAAAGCCGAAAAAAACAGAAATTATCATAAGATACAAACAAATTCTTTATAAATCAAGAGCTAGCTGCGTTTTGCATAGAAAACAAATTCCAATGAACTTTGGCAGACGTCAAACCATTTGCAATTTGTTTGCATTTGGATTGGGAAATATGAAAAAAATAAAAATAAAACTATAATGCTCGCTTTTGGGTTGGATTCTCTCGCATTAATTTTTAGCTTAGACAGGATACAGATATAAATTGTTTCATAGAAAAGTTGCGAAGTCGCGTAACGAATGACATCAGGGATTGAAGAATTTCTAGGCTAGCTTCAAGGCTTTTAATTTGGGCTGCGATTTTCTTTGCACATGAGTTGTCTCAATCTTAAATCGACTTAATTACCGTCGTGTTCCTAATTAACTGTTCCGTACGATTTGAGTCAAGTTTGTTTCTTAAGTCTTCTGTTTTGACAATGCTTCTGTGGCATTGTCCGACATGAGTGCCTTTCATTTTTTCATCATGCTTAATTAAACCATAAACACCTCAAAACACGCTACCATATTCAACATATTGCCACCCATATGACAAGCGACCTACACGACTATTTTAGTCGTTTTTTTCCTTTTAGACAATGCCAATTGAAAGAGCAGCTAAAAACTGCAGCGGCTACACCTCCGCAGTTAGCAGTTAGCAGTCAACACTCGAAAATGAAATCGTAGCCCAACCTAGGACAAGTTTTTGTCTGATGTGGTGGGTTTACGTTTAGGTTAATCAATTTAAATTACCTTCAATTAGGCTTTTTGTTCACTTCGGCATTGTGAAAGAGATGTGAAACGAGAAATATGAAAACAATCTGTTGCATTGTCTATACTTTTAACAGCTCTTTAGTAACTCAATTCCAACCAGCTGAGCTTACATAAATATGTATATGTATATTAGAAATGGAAATTACAATTTTATTGCCGCTCGATGTGCCGGCATGCATCCAATTTGTAAAGCTCCAGCAGCTGGCCAGAAATTCATGTATGCATATTTATCTTTATGCCCGGGTTGGCCGAGCAGCCACACACAGCGCTTTACCCGGCAATTAAACATTTTATAGCTTCATTCGATATGCATGCTGGGCAGGCTATATCCCAGATGTAGGGCGGAGTAGGGGTGCACGGGCATCAATTTGTGTGTATGCAATGCGATGTTGTGGGTGTTGGCTCTGTTTGGGCCATAAAATGCAAATTTCTTTGAGTCATAAAATAATATGTAAGCGAATTGATTGCTCAGTTATCAGCGCAATGGGTGCAGAATCTGGCAAACGTAGATATATTTCAACATTATTTGCATTGCAAATTTGTATGCATTAAGAATTGAATTTTGATTATCGTTGTTACATTCTAATAAAATAATACTGCGCGGTATATTCTTTGTAAAAGTTTTAACACTAGATGATTCAATTAAAGTTCGCTCTGATAATGAGATATATAGCTAAC